TTCTTAAAAAACGAGAGCTACAAATTTTTTCTTTCCACAACAAATTTACAACAAAAACACTACAATTAATGCCGTAGTTAACTTTTCCAAATTCGAAAAGTGTAGTGCTAACTTGACACACGTGGGATTTTCGCGACAAGTACTGGACATTGGGAACGGAAAGCTGTCAGCTAACGAGAGATTAAGACGGATTGTATTGCCTGATAATTTTTGTAACTAAGGAACATCGAAAGGAGAACTGATGGAAAGAATGTTTCTTAATTAAGAAAATTAATTACAGGCTCAGAGAACGAGCTATTCTTGCTGCGAAGAATAAGGATGTCTATCAACTATATAAGAGTAGTATTGACAACAGTCGTTGCTTGAGCTGATCTGCTCTTTTACCAGACTGCCGGGCCACTTGCTCACTTTGGTGAACACCCCTAATGATATTCAATCCAGCATTCAAAGTGACAACTGTTTAGCTGAGGGAGAGCGGGAGACCAGGTTTAGAGTTGCGGTCGAGTTAGAGTAGTTGAGGAGGTAGCGATTACCTTGGCGAGTGTTTGTGTATCGAGCTCAATGAGTCCGTATGGTTTATAGGTGCACATCAAGTCAGCCACGCACTTCATATGCCTGATATGTGAGAGAGAAAGAGAGAGAGAGAGAGATATGCGGGCAGGCTGATGAAGCGGTAGCGCAAGATGTGACCGTTTCACCGTGTATTCATTGTGGGAGTCATGCTCTAGCTGCCTTAGGCTCCTGGGCAATGAGCTCGGATTTATCCAGGGATACATTCGTGCAGAGAGTGTGGTTTGTAAGCAGTAGCTTAATACCATGTCAAAAATTACTCCGGGAGCGCAGTGTGGGTGATGCTTATAGCACCGTGTGATAGCCAAGCTGGGTTAGCGTTGACCATAGCTGAAAATGCCAGCGACTTATCACTTCACTAAGTTCAGCGAAGAGATATTTGAGAATTGCATAAAAAATGCTTACCCAATTAAACACGAGTACCTTTAAAAACAAGTGCGTCTGTGTGTTCGCTGTTCTTCGTTTAAGCGGGAAATGCATAAGTCGCTTAAACAATAACATATGCGTCGATAAACACGTTGTGGAAGAAGACGAATCAGTTAATTATGCAACGGAATTTTTGAACTCGATTGATCTTACAGGGATGACCCCACATACTGAATTGAAAATAGGTCTGCCAATTATCATGTTGCGGAATATTAATCAGCTAAAACTCCGCAACGGTACGCGACTCGCAGTTAAGAAATTGATGAAGAACGTAATGTAAGTAAAGATTTTTACGTGGCCTTTCAAAGGCGAAGAATTCCCATGATTCCGACCGATACACTATTTCAATTTTAAAGATTGCAATTCCCAATTCGATTGACATACGGAATCACAATCACTAATGCTCAAGGTTATCCTTTGGAAAAGTGTGGTTTAGAGTGAGATGCGGATTGGTTCTTAGATGTTGCGTGTTCCCGTCTCGGCAAACCAGATATCCTTGATATCAATGCAGAGAAGTACTTATTACAAAATCAAACTCATATGAAACGTATGCTTTGTTTCGTTAATAATTTATCATCCATGTAACAGGAATATGCCACAGCAAAGAGTGGCAGGGTATAGCTAGTTACCTTATAACTTTTGAAACGCGACACGGAATCGCGCGAAACTTTGCATACTTATTTGGTTTTAGCCCTTACTTAGCCCTTTAGCACTTCTTGATTAGGGTTTCAATTACTTTAAAATAAGTTCTTATTAAGTGCAATGTAAACAAACAAATGTATAGCTAAAAATCGAAAATTTAACCAAAAACGGTATATTTGTTTGCAACGGCAAATGGAGTAAAGTTAGATTTCTCGTTTAAGGTTCTGTAACTAGAATAGGAGAGAGGATACTCAGTTTTATCATTTCAAAGAACATTGAGAATAAAGTATGATAATTTGTAGAATTAATATTTTAATCAACATATACAGTATTGGACGATTTGGCTCACGTTCACGCAAGCTCATATCGGTAGCTTTATAAATCACACACACTCACATTGGGTTTTTTTTTTCACAGAGACTATTTTCTCAATCACGCAGGCCACGCACACTTTTTCACGCAGCAATTTCCGCCGAATGTTTGACTGGTTCGAAGAACATTAATAAAGAAAAGCTTTTATTTTATATCTGTTGGGTTATTTTAAATACAGTCTAGGTCGCGTATGATCATGACTTTAGTAAAATGATTTTTTGTCAGTTATCCAGATTTAATTTGAGCGAATCTCTTGCACATACATATGTATGTAATACCTACTTTTTAGTTCATATGGGAAACATTTTTGAAACAAAAAAAATGTAAAATTTGCGCAAAAAAATATATGAAAGTTTCGTGAT